TATAATTTATATAATCTTCTCAGCTATGATTTTGTTCTCATGGACAATTAAAGGTTTTGTTATTGATATAAATGTCTTTCCAACTAAAGCTTGGTGCATGAAACATGTATAATTTCAAAGGGGGGCTGCGCCCATGCCATGCTACAAGGTTCACACGGTTCATAAGGTAACTGTAACTGTCGGTACTCCATACTCCATACGCCTGCATATGTAGCGTTCCATACTCTCATAGCAACCCATTTGAGAAGCACAATTGTACGTCACGATGTAAAACCACGGCAAAGTTAGCCTGTTTTATCGTAAAGTTAAACTACTTGGTCTGCACAGTGGTAAGCAATTAAACATGTGTTATTTGATTGGATTGTATTATCAGTGTTTGTGACATAGGTTTCGTCATTTAACTATAAATACCACAGATTATTTGATGATAATGAGAATGTTGCATGCCATTGCCCATGTTATAATATAGCATTATTCAGAACTGTAGAGGGCGAAGTACATTCACATTCACTTTCAATGAATACATAATACATAACTCACAAGATAAGATGTTTATAAAATCATAGTTTATTAGCGATTTGTGCATAATGTATATAAATGCATACAGTGTAGATATTATAATTATCGGGGTAGAAAATTACATAATGAAGGTTTTAGTACTTAAATTAAGTTGTTTATATTTAATCTCCAATCTTGTTGCTCAGACATACCTGTTTAATAATGAGAGCATAAAGTTTAGGTACGTTACTTTATATTACATTGTGGTTGTTTATGATACATGTATTTAGTAGTTTATGCTTGACAAGAATGCTAGCTCATAATGATAACAAGGTATTTGTTTAGTAAGCACTGTTCCCTTTATAAGGTAGCTGCTTGCAATAGTTAATTGCTTGTCATTTATTATCAAGTGTGCAATGTTATTTCCGCACATTTGGATGGTTTGGGCCAGAATGTTAAGGTCAAGTTAGACACCTTATACCAAAGTTGAAAGGTTAACATGGCATCAATTGATATAATTTTCTTTGGCTTTGTTTTATAGTTCTTACGGCAACATCTTACGGCAACATGTAAAGCGACTTCTAAGTTAATCAGCTAAATCGGCGTCATCTATCAAGTTAACGGCTTATTCGATATTCGAGAGTAAGATTGTAAGTCTGTACAAACTTTCTTCAAGGAACGATGACAATAAAGGAAGCATGATTAAAGTGCCCGTATACAAGACCTGTGACTGTATTCATTTATCTGGTGTAAACGTGTCATTATCGAGAGGGGCAGGCACAGTAAGAACACTACGCGTTGGATATGAAGCGTCATCTTCCATGGAGTCAACCACCGTCTGATTCCAGCCAAAGGAGTTGGCGAACCCTGATGACCGGCACGTCAGAGTCTCCAGATTACATCGATGAATGGACTGCAACCTACTTTAAGGACAACTAGTCAGCGTTACCCGCTGGATATTAGCCAAGCCAGTCAGGAGCTGTACATTAAAAACATTTAATAGAGACTTGACTTTCATGATGCTCCATGATAAACTCTAAACTTTAAGGACAACTAGTCAGCGTTACCCGCTGGATATTAGCCAAGCCAGTCAGGAGCTGTACATTAAAAACATTTAATAGAGACGTGACTTTCATGATGCTCCATGATAAACTTTGATGCTAATGCTTACTTTCTGAAGAGTTTATTTGCAACACCCATTTGGCAAGATAACGCAGAAAGACAATAAGTAAGGAGTGCATGCGAAGAGCTTGTTTGAAAGGATATTACTAGAATAATTGCCATCCTGGTTGCACTTGATTAATTCCTTCGAACTTGTTTTGTAGAGGCAGCATTTGGTATTTCTTTGAAATGCATTAGTATTGTTGTTCAGCTGCTATAATTTGAATGGTTTGATTCCCATGTTACTACCATTCGATAATAAAAGGATTTTAGTTTAAATTTATTGAGATTGCAATCTCGATAAGAGGGAAGCCTTTGCATATTAAGATAAAGGTGTTAAATTTGTGTACGGTGAGGTAAAACATTTTGTTTGATTATATAACTACATATGATAACATCTAGCTATTTTGACTGATTGTGACAGTCCATTTTAATATGCGTAAGTAGGATATTAGTATGTTGAGCTGCTTCAGTAAATAATTGTATGTTAATATACATTAAAGCAGCTGTGAGATATTAATTCTCATTATTAATTTGTAAGTCTTGTTCAAAACACATTTGGAGTAAGCAAAGTTTGATCCATTAAGTTCATTGATGATTATGTAATATTCTGCTGTAACTGTCACACTAAGGCAGAAGTGGATCCACGCATATTGTAACACTCTACTTGGAGGACCTATTATAGCTTTGACTTATACAGTCCTCTGATTCTGCTGAGTGTGAGGGCAGGATTCGTTCCTTCGATAAGATGGAGAATCAAGCGGAGGAGACCCATGTTAGAAAGTCGTCTAGGGAAAGACAGCCAACTGAAAAAATGGCAGCCCTTCAAGTTGGAGAAGAGATAAAGACAGAGAGAACGTTCTTCAAAAGATATGGTGCTTTAAAGACTGTTGTAAAGGAGGCAAGGTTAGCCATTAAAACTGAAAAGGAAGAAGCTGCAATAACGAAACACCTTAAAGCACTTGAAGATGGAGAAAAGGACTTGGTCATGATCTTTGAAGAGCTGAGGAGATATAAAGCTCCCATAAGAGAGGTGAGGGAGCGAATGGACCGAGCTAGCGCTATGGTAAGGGATGGGATTAATGCCCTGGAAGAAGTGTTGGGGTCTCTTGGGAGCCCCTTTGACCCTACTGACCCCAATCAAATTGCCAGGGAACTTTTAAAACAGGATTATGCTGAGACAGTCTACAGTTCAATTCTAAGCAAAACAGATCCCGAAGAAGGACCTAGCCAACAGAATGAAGTCACATCTCCCTCTGTCCACAAAGATCACGATGTACTTCCTCCAGCGTTCAATGATCATGTTGTGTCTCATCCAGCGTTCAATGATCATGTGTCTCCTCCACCGTCTGTTGATCAAGTTATACTGCCTGTTGCTAGGGATCAGGTATTTCAAGTTGACATGCAAGAATTTGCCCAAGTCATGGCAAATAATATGCTTCGTAGTCGGCTACCAGTCCCTGTGCCATGTACATTCAGTGGAAACCCCCTGGAATTTGTTGAGTTTGAACGGAGTTTTAGGACCTTAATTGGAGAGCTAATTCACCCGCTGAAAAGTTGTACCATCTCAAGCAGTACGTCACTGGTCCTGCAAAGGATGCCATTGCTGGATTCTTTTATGGAGAGACCGAGGCTGCTTACGAAGGTGCATGGAAAACCCTGAAAGAACGATACGGACATCAATTCAGGGTTCAACAGGCGTTCAGGGACAAACTGAGCAACTGTCCGAAAGTCAGCCCTAAAGACGCTCCAGCCCTGCAGAAATTCGCCGATTATCTGGGGAGTTGTCGCGATGCAAAGCCATACACTGAAGGACTGCAGGTCCTTGATGACTGTCTGGAAAATCAAAAATTACTAAACAAGTTACCTGAATGGCTTGTCTCCCGTGTGGTGACTGACTCCCTCAAAAGATTTAAAAGATATCCAAGTTTCACAGAGTTTGTAGCATTTGTGTCTAAGGAAGCGCGTATTGCAAAAAACCCTATTTCCTCATTGATTGCATTAAGAGGCCAAGAAGTGTCTTCTAAAGGAGAGTCAAGGATCAACGAGAGAAGAGAAGTTGCAAGGAACAAGGTCTCTGCCTTCAGAACCAAGGGCTACGAAAGGGACGATAGAAGAGCATCTGCAGGGATGAAGGACGCAAAACTAGGTGATGAAGCTTCTGCATCAAATCAATCGAGGGAAAAGGAGCAAAATAACAAGTGGACCCCAAAGCCCTGCAGCTTGTGCGCAGACATGAGTCACAAGTTAGAGAAATGCCCTCAGTTCAGGGCCAAGACATTAGAAGAACGCAAGGAGTTCATTAAAGAATCTCGCCTTTGCTTCGGATGCTTGCGGAAGGGCCATTTCTCGAAGGATTGCACAAGGAGACACAAATGTGATAACTGTAGTAAACGCCATCCGACCCTCCTTCATGAGTATCGCTCTGACAAAGTTGATGAAGGAACACAAAGCAAAGGATCCAGTCACGGTTACATCCAACAAGGTACACTCTGGCAATCAGGCCAGTACTTCGATGATCGTACCCGTGTGGGTGTCTTCTGCGCAAGCACCCTCCACAGAGATCTTGACTTATGCTCTCCTCGATACGCAGAGTGATACCTCATTCATACTCGAAAATGTGGCACGAGCCTTGAGTGTAAGCCGCCAACCAGTTTGTCTTAAACTTTCCACCATGACTTCTTCATCCACAATCGATTCCAATGCAATATCTGGTCTCTCTGTTAGAGGTATGACGCTTCCCACTCAGCTTAAGATAGAGAAGTGCTACACCCGAGACTTCATTCCAGCTGAACGGACACACATTCCAACAAGAAAGACTGCTGAAGGGTGGACTCACCTACAAGATGTAGCACAGGAAATACCCGCACTCCAAGGGTGTGAGGTCGGAATGCTGATTGGGTACAATTGCTCAAGAGCCTTGGTACCTAGGCAAGTTCGCAGGCACGGATACAGAGCCATATGCTGTCAGGACAGACTTGGGCTGGTCTATCGTAGGTTCCTCAGAATCCAAAAACGGCGGAGACTGGACAAGCCAGTGTCATAGGGTTACTGCGAGAGAGATGCAAAGCCCCACTCCACATGACGTTCTCAGAGCATTAGAAGCAGACTTTAATGAGAAGCACCATGGAGACAAGGTCTATTCCTAAGATGACATACGGTTCGTGAAACACCTGGAAGCTAATATCTCTCAATGTGAGGATGGTCACCTACAAATGCCCCTTCCCTTAAAGAACCGACCTGAACTGCCCAACAACAGACGGCTTGCATCGATTCGACTTCGGCATATCAAGAGAAAGATGGAAAGAGACGATCAATACAAAGATCATTATCTAGCATTCATGACAACTATAGTCAATGGTGGCTTTGCAGAACAAGCTGAGAATGAAGCACCTCTAGGATCCACTAACTACATTCCTCATCATGGAATATACCATTCGAAGAAGAATAAGCTCAGGATAGTGTTCGATTGTTCTGCCAAGTTTGCTGGAACATGTCTGAATGACCACTTGCTGAAAGGGCCAGATCTGACCAATAACTTGACTGGGGTCCTGTTGAGATTCAGGAAGCACAAAGTAGCTGTGCTCTGTGACGTGGAGAAAATGTTCAGAGTAGACGAAAGTGACCGTGACTTCTTACGATTCTTATGGTGGGACTACAGGATGAATGTGCACCTATTTGGTGCAGCCTCTTCCCCAGGATGTGCAAACTATGGCTTGAAGTATCTGGCTAGACAGTACAGAGATGATTACCCTGCGGCATCACAGTTCTTAGAGAGGAACTTCTATGTGGATGATGGGGTAGTGAGTGTGTCAAACCGGGAAGAGGCCATCCATCTAACGAAGGAAGCGAGAGAACTTTGCAGAACGGGTGGCCTACGTATCCACAAGTTTGTTTCCAACGACGAGGCGGTAATCGAAAGCATCCCAGAGTCAGAGCGTGCAGTTGCAGTCACCAACTCAAACCTAGACTTTGAAGAACCTGTGGAGCGAGCTCTGGGGATCATGTGGAACATAGCTGTTGATGCATTGTTCTTCAAGATGTCCTTGAAGGAAAAACCAACGACTCGTCGTGGAATCCTGTCAACAGTGGCATCCATATATGATCCTCTAGGATTTGTGTCTCCTGTGGTACTGAATGGAAAGAGAATGCTGCAGGAGATGTGCCGCAAGGGAGTTGGCTGGGATGATCCGATACCTGGCACCCTACAGCCAGTCTGGGAGCAATGGTGTAGAGAACTCCAACTACTGGAAGAACTCAGGATACCTCGGTGCCATCACCCCTCTGACTTTGGCCACCCACTGTTAGTACAACTGCATCATTTTTCCGATGCAAGCATGCAAGGATACGGCCAGTGCTCGTACATCCGCCTCATGAATCAAGCAGAAGAAGTCTACTGTTGTCTGATTTTCGCCAAGTCAAGAGTAGCACCATCCAAGGTGGTCACGATTCCCCGGCTAGAATTGACAGCGGCAGTTGTATCGGCAAAGGTCAGCTCAATGTTGAGAGATGAGCTAGGGTACCAAGAAGCACAGGAGTTCTACTGGACAGACTCCCGAGTAATCCTTGGCTACATCAACAATGAATCCCGAAGATTCCACACATTTGTTGCAAATCGGGTACAACAAATCAGAGAAAGGACATCGCCAGACCAGTGGCACTATGTCCCCACTGATCAGAATCCAGCAGATCATACATCAAGAGGACTCAGTGCAGGCAACTTGCAGGACACTCAGTGGTTCAAAGGGCCAAACTTCCTGTGGGAAAGGACCCTCAAGTTTGAAGACGTCACCCCAGAACTGCAAGTAGGAGACCCCGGGGTCAAGACGATAAGCCTAGCAACAAGCACTAGCACAGAGCCGTTGAATTTGCTGAAACGCTTGACAAGAGTTTCAAGCTGGTCTATGATGGTCAAAGTGCTGTCCCGACTCAGAATGGTGGCCAAGGGTCCAAGACGAGGGTCAGTTGTACAATAGAGAAAGGATGCTGAGATGTTCATCTTGCAGCTGACTCAACAGGAGGCATTTGCAGAGGAACTGCAGTCACTGAACCGCCACAAGACTTTGAGAAGTACCAGCAAGATCCAGAACCTTGATCCATATGTCGATGACAAGGAAATACTACGAGTAGGCGGTAGACTTCGAAAGCTCTCCAAGGAAATGTCTCACCCGGTCATTCTCCCAAGACAAGGCCCGGTGACTGAAGCCATAGTTCAACACATTCATCGCAGAGACCATCATCAGGGTAGAGGTGTTACCCAAAAAATGAAATTCGGGCTCAAGGCTACTGGGTAGTGAGTGGATCCCGAGTTGTGGCAGAGTTAGTAAGGCATTGTGTGTCATGCAGACGACTGCGACGACCTAAAGAGGAGCAAAAAATGGCAGACTTGCCAGAAGACCGCACAGAACCATCACCCCCATTCACACATGTTGGCATGGACTGCTTCGGGCCGTTCATAGTCAAGAAGGGTCGTTCAGACATCAAGCGGTACGGACTGTTGTTTACCTGTTTCTGTTCCAGAGGTGTGCATATTGAGATGCTAGATGATATGTCAACTGACTCATTCATCCTTGCCCTTCGTCGTTTTATCGCCATCAGGGGAGCATTTCGACAAATCCGGTGTGATCAAGGTACCAATTTTGTGGGTGCAAGAAACGAATTTCAGGCGGCCATGAAGGAAATGAATGTCAACAGGGTGGAGGCCTACCTTGCAGATAGGCAATGCGAGTTTGTCTTCAATGCTCCACACTCAAGTCATGCTGGTGGGGTATGGGAGAGGCAGATTCGTACCATCAGGAACGTCCTCAGAGCCACAATAGACTTGTGCCCAGGAAGACTAACCTCTACGCACCCTGTTCTACGAAGCAATGGCAATAGTAAACAGTCGTCCCTTGTCAATGGCCGACATAAATGATTCAATGGCAGATACACCCCTCACGCCAAATCATCTACTCACCATGAAGACAACTGTTCCCCTACCTCCTCCAGGAGAATTTCCTGAGACAGACAGGTACACACGAAAGGCCTGGAGAAGAGCGCAGTTCTTATTGGAACAGTTCTGGTCCCGTTGGCGCAAGGAATACTTGCTCGACTTGCAAAAGAGAAGAAAATGGTTGAAACCACGAAGAAATTTGCAAGTCGGAGATGTTGTGTTGCTGACAGACGAAGAAGCGACTCGCATGAAATGGCCACTTGCGATGGTGCTAGAAGCCACTCCAGGTGAAGATGGCCTCGTGAGACAAGTGAGAGTGCGAGTTGGGACGAAGAGTCTCGACAAGGGAGGTTGTCCAACCAAGAAGTTGACTGAGCTTACGCGACCCGTACAGAAGTTGATTCTCTTGTTGGAATGTCCCCAATCTCCTAAAACCAAATAGGAGGGGCCAATATTGATATTGCGTTAACGATGCCTTTGTGTCCTTTACATTAGTAGTTTGTCTTTGATTGATGTTTATTATCGTTATTAACGATCCATAAGACATTGCATGATGTGTACAGATATCATTTTATTTGTCAGAACCATATGTAAGTGGAGTACCTATTTGAAATTACAGATATGTTTTATGTTGTTGAAGTAATTTGGTGGGAGTGTAACTGTCGGTACTCCATACTCCATACGCCTGCATATGTAGCGTTCCATACTCTCATAGCAACCCATTTGAGAAGCACAATTGTACGTCACGATGTAAAACCACGGCAAAGTTAGCCTGTTTTTATCGTAAAGTTAAACTACTTGGTCTGCCCATATTATTTGGTCTGCACAGTGGTAAGCAATTAAACATGTGTTATTTGATTGGATTGTATTATCAGTGTTTGTGACATAGGTTTCGTCATTTAACTATAAATACCACAGATTATTTGATGTTAATGAGAATGTTGCGTGCCATTGCCCATGTTATGTGTGTGTGTGTGTAATTGGGTTTTTACAGACGTGTATCAATCAGATATGATTATTTACGTCTGGGGACCGACCTTTAACGTCACCATCCGAAAGACGTGACTCAGTTTCGAACCTGCGTCCTCTGCTGAATCAGTTTGTAACTTCCACTGTTAGCTGGATTACAGGCGCACGCCACAACGCCTAGTTGTTATGATATAACATTATTCAGAACTGTAGAGGGCGAAGTACATTTACATTCACTTTCAATGAATACATAATACATAACTCACAAGATAAGATGTTTATAAAATCATAGTTTATTAGCGAGTTGTGCATAATGCATATAAATGCATACAGTGTAGATATTATAATTATCGGGGTAGAAAATTACATAATGAAGGTTTTAGTACTTAAATTAAGTTGTTTATATTTAATCTCCAATCTTGTTGCTCAGACATACCTGTTTAATAATGAGAGCATGAAGTTTAGGTACGTTACTTTATATTACATTGTGGTTGTTTATGATACATGTATTTAGTAGTTTATGCTTGACAAGAATGCTAGCTCATAATGATAACAAGGTATTTGTTTAGTAAGCACTGTTCCCTTTATAAGATAGGTAGCTGCTTGCAATAGTTAATTGCTTGTCATTTATTATTAAGTGTGCAATGTTATTTCCGCACATTCGGATGGTTTGGGCCAGAATGTTAAGGTCAAGTTAGACACCTAATACCAAAGTTGAAAGGTTAACATGGCATCAATTGATATACTTTTCTTTGGCTTTGTTTTATAGTTCTTACGGAAACATCTTACGGCAACATGAAAAGCGACTTCCAAGTTAATCAGCTAAATCGGCATGTGTGCAGCGCTTTGTAACTGCAAGGAAAAGGCGCTATATCAAATATCTTTTGGATTGGATTGGATCACCATATGACCACCATCATTACCATCATCATCATTATCATCCCCATCGTAATTACCATCATCATCATCATCATCACCAACATCATCCTTATCATCACCATCATCATCACCATTGCCGTCACCACTATCGTCTTCGCATCATCACCACCATCATCATTATCATCATCATCCTCATCACTATCATTATCATCACCACTACCATCTCAATCATCTGACATCAGCACCATCACCATCATCACCAGCATCATCACCATCATCATCACCATCACCATCACAAGTTTCATCATCACCATCATCATCACCATCACCACCATCACTCCCATCACCATCACCACCATCATCACCACCATCACTCCCATCATCATCACCATCTCCATCACGAGCATCATCATCACCAGCATCATCACCATGCACCACCATCACCATCATCATCACCATCATTATCATCACCACCATCACCATCACCAACACCATCACGAGCATCATCACCATCACCATCACGAGCATCATCATCACCAGCATCATCACCATGCACCACCATCACCATCATTATCATCATCACCATCACCATCACGAGCATCATCATCACAGCATCATCACTATTATCCAATCATCACCGCCATCATCATCATGATCACCGCCAATATCACTATCATTATCATCACCTGATTAATTAAAATCATTATCATGATCCTTGCCATGCACCACCATCATTCTCATCATTATCACAGTCATCATCATCGAAATCCATAGTCTTCTTTACCTATTGCATTTCATCTTGCACTGTCCGGTATCTATTTTCCTGTAACAAAGCCACTGACCGCCCGCCAAAGAAGAGGAATGACACGAGAAGTCAAAATTCCAAACCCCACGATTCCTATGATTGACAGCACCACGAATATTAGAAAGAAGATAGAACTCCACGAATATCCGTCCGCCAAGACACTGAAGAAAAAAAATACATGAGAACAATTATAGAATAATAAAATATTACAACATCATACAATACAACACAAATAATGTGGTACACATACCAAACAGGAAAAAAAAGTGTTTAGATTTATATTTAAACTATTAAGAATGCACATTCTTTGTAAAGAAATAAGACAATGCAATTTCCAAAATGTAAAAGAAGAAGAAAAGTCCTTACAAAGTATAATTAAAAGTTTATTGAGCAAAAAAAAACGTGGTACGGTTCCTCTCAAAATCAATTCTGAGAAGCCGCCCCCCCCCCTGAAAAGAGCAACCACAACAAATAAACAACAATATACTGTTAAAAATCTCTGATAACAAATAGCAAAGCAAAAAGCAAATCAGTATGACATGGTGGTGGTGGGGGGGGGGGGGGGTGGGGAGAGCTTGGAGACACTGGATTTGCCCACAAGTGTTATTATTTTTGAGACCAGAAATTGATACACTTCCCACTCCCTTGCATTCTTGAAAATGAAATACTACCAAAAGAAGCTGTTGTTTAATTTGGAAGGAGGAGGAGGAGCAGGGGTGGGGTAATCCTTCTTAAGTATTATTCTTAAGTATCATTTGAGGTGTTCACACTTGCACAAGCATTGTTTTTTAGTGGACCCCTCTGTTTCCAATATATATTTCTACATTTCATGTAAATGTTTATAATTGATTTGTAATGCTTTGTTGGAATTGAATGGGGAGGGTAAGGTGAATACACCCTATGCTAGAGACTATAACGGTTCATGGTTCAATTTTCATTCATATTTTCTTACTCTCTAGTGACCTTGGAGAAGAACCGAAGTACTTCTCGATGTCCAGCCCTCATCGCTGCTCGGCACCCCTCAGCCATGCGTAGAATTTGCAGACCAAACTGTTGGTTGAAACTAGTCCGCATCTCTCGTAGATCACAACGAGTCCTGAGAAGGATAAAAAGATATAACAAGAAAATAGTTGAGACCCATTTCACACTCCCATGTTAGAGTGCCCTATTTATACTCGCGTGTAAAAGCATGCCATTCACACTCCCTAGATCAGGCCTTCTCAACTGGCGGCGCGCGCGGTCGGTCAGTCAGAGTGGCGCGCGGCTGCTCCAAATAAAATAATAAAAAATAAATACAAATTAAAAAATAATATTTAAGAAATAAAAAATTAAAAAATTATATTCTAAAATAAAAAAACTCAGCAAAATCAAAAATTCGCAGTCGAAGTAGA